ACAGGAAGAAGATTCATCTGGGGGCTTCCTTAGGTTATGATGCTTAGAGAAGGAAATTTTTAAGAAATGATATCTAAAAAGATTTTGCGAGGCCTGAGAGAGCAATTCACATAGAATGTTAATGCAAGAGAACCTTCTGAAATGGGAATAGACTGAATAGACTTTAAAACTTTAGGGAACAGAAAGATAGACAAGATCAATATGTGTTAGTGTATAAGGCTCACAAAGTAGATTCTCAAGCTTCCCACACTGGACACGGAAGGATAGCACTGATGTGAGGATTAAGTATCAAGGGAAGTGCTGATTTCCTTCGGACATAGGAGGTTTTAGGTGCAGAGGTCAATCTTGTTGAGATAATATCCAAAATGGGACTTGAATTTAAAATGTTCCTCATAGTTCATGTGTTTGATTTCTTGATACATAGTTGATGACAGTGATGTGGGAGGCTATAGATGGCTGTGGTGGACCCCATGTGAGTAAGTTAATCATGGCAGGGCAGGCTTTGAGATTTCGAGTTTTACTTTTTGGTCCACTTAGATATGAGTGAGTATTTTTATGATCCTTCTACTTAGGAAAACCTAATTCTTCTATAATACCTTCAATTCTGTGAAGGGCTTACGTCATCTCAAACTGAGCCATAGTAAATACTTCCTGAAGTTATTTCCTATTAGGCATTTGTTCATGTGATGTGTACCAAAATGAGCTGACTTACAATATCTAGTTATTTCCGTTCTGATGGTCACACTCTGGGATTTCAGCATGCTTAGCACTCATATAAATTTGCTTACTTTTCTGTCTGATTAAATTTTTAGAAATTCTTTAGTTTACCCAGATATCATAAATATTTATTTGTGTATTTATTTATGGTATCATATGATATATAAAATAGCTATTTTAAAAACATGTTCAATAGAATACTAATAATTATTTTGTAAGAAGTAACTTATTAGGATGCTGTCATTTAAAACAAGAGAAAATAACTTACAAAGAAGACTAATTAGCTGAGAATGTGTTGGGATTAGAGATACAGACTTGAGAGTCTTTAGTTAAATAATTCTTTGAGGCTTCATGATGGAGATATTCAGGAAGGGGAAGTAAGGAGAGAAAACGGCAGATAAAACAGGGTAACAGTAAAGAAAGTTCCCTTTGGGGATCTAGAAGATGTTGTAGGAAAGAAACAAGGAGCAAATCCCAGAGAATGGGCACCTAAGGCATGAGGAATTGTGGTATTTAACTGCCTAGCACAAAGTCGACCTGCAAATACACATTTTGTTTTATTTCTATTCAGAAAAGACAGTTTAGCCAAGAGAAATCACTCTATTTGGTTATATTTCCATGTATATGATATCTCTTGTTGGTATATTTAAAGTTAGAATGGTGATGTGCTTGGATAAAATACAACTGAAACCTTTTTGTCAGCATTTCTCAAATATGCTTGTCATATGCTAAAATATACATTCCTAAGACAAGAAACAAACACTTGCTTTTAATTGGAATGCTGTCATTAAGAGTCCCCAAATTGATTGTCCTCTACCAAGTGATCAGCCTTGTGATCATTTAAAGACAGATAACATGGACTGATCAGGTTGTAATTTTATATTTTGGAATCCATATATAAAGAGGCCATATATTTGAGAAGAAGGGATCATGAGGAGGATTAGAAAGAGGAAGGGAAAATGTATTTATAGTATGTATAACTACAAGATGTAGTTATCTTACACTTAAAATGTAATTATCTTATAATTTCAAAAATATAAAACAATATTATTGAAAACAGAATTATGAAATGTCTTTAAATTCGTTTTCTGTTTGACCAGCAGGTGGCATAAACATTACTTTTCTATTATTTGATGCATTAGTGTATGTTGGATAATGATTATTAATGCTTGAAAATCATAATTGGTAGTGGCAAATTATATATTCCTATACTGAATACAGCTGAATGGATGTTATTTGATTTAATCACTGTGTGTGTGTGTGTGTGTTAGAGAGAGAGACAGAGATAGAGAGAGACACAGAGAGACAGAGAGCGAGAAAGAGAGAGAGAGATTCTTTCAATAATATTCCAATCACCAGCCATGTAGGAGGCAGTTGTCAAAGAACAGGAACATCCACACAAACTCTTCCCTCAGAAGCTTCTCCTTTCAGGAAGGAGCCACTAATATATTCGAGACAGGTTAAGGTGTGTCAGTGAGTGTAGGGACATGTAGGTAAGGTTTCTCTAAGCTTGGGGAGAACTTGGAAAGTTTCACAGCAGAGAAGAAGCTGGATTTGAAGAAGAATCAATATGCATCTGGGGGAAAGGATGTGAAAATCCATCATTGTGTGAAAGGGGCATCTCTTGTGAGCTCTGCGGGGTTTATAGTTGCATGCCTGACATGAGGCTGAAGGTAAAGGTAAACTATAGAAGAAGGTTGGAGGGCAAACAATGATAGGATTTATGTGCTAAGTTGAGGACCTTGGAGGGCTCTATTCTATAGCATGAGTGAAGCTTCTGGAATATTTTCTCTAAAATGATACTTTATAGAAGGTAGACTAGAGGAGGACAGAGCTAGAGGCTGATGGATCATGTAGGTGAAGATGTTCATTAATAAGTCCAAGAGGTGAAGGCGCCATGAGCCAGTGTGAGGAAGTGATTGGAGGAGGACATACAGAGAAATAGGTGTCTTGATTATTACTTTTAACTTTCAGTTCAGATATCTGGGCACTCTTTGGTTTGGGATAAGATTGTTTTGCTCAGTAGACTGAGTGCCTTAGCAAATTGGGTTTAGCCTCATCCAGTAAGTTGAAGGCATGACAAGGAAAGAAAAGCTCATTCTGTTTTGTAAGGAGCATTTTCTCCATTCTTCCTGAGGTTCAGGGGAAGTATTTCTATGACAAGGTATGTTACAGGAAGGCACAAGCTTTATTTTGTTGAATATTATTGAGGTCTATTTTGAAATGATAAATGGATATAAATTAGATTTTAAAACTGAAAAATATTAGACCTATGGTTCACCAAAATGAAGTAGAATATATGATTCAGTATGTAAGAGACACATATGTTGCTGAAGTATCAAGGATCTAACTTCCTTGGCATTTCTAAGTAGCACAACTTCATAGCAGACTTTCTGGCCCTCTTACAGTCTGTCTGTCTATCTGCTCTATGGCAATGTACTAAAAACCATAGGTGCAGGGGTTTTGTAATAACTGTATCAATAGGGGTTGGGCATCATGAAATCTATATTTTCTGCCAACTCCGCTTTTAGTTTTTATTGTTACTGTTTATTTAAGGCTTTGAGGTACTTAAGTTATTTGAGATCTCTCTTATTCTTTAAGGAAAGTATATTGCTATGAACGTTCCTGTTAGAACTGCCTTAGCTATAGCTCAGTTAAGTTCTTAAAAATTACATTTTTACTTGTACATGATTCTAGTTACTTTTAAAATCCCCCCATGATTTCCTTAGTGCGCCCCCACCCCGGTTATTTTAGAGTGCATATTCTGTTGGATGGGGTATTCTGCACATATCTCTGAAGTCCACTTTGTATACTGTGGAATACTCTCTTAACGGGTCATGGTTACATTGCTGTTTCCGTGCTGTGTTTTTCTCTCATGGATATGGGTATTTAAAAACTTGTCTTTGTCAAAAAATTTCTTGCTTATGAGTATTGCTAGAGATTATAGTGCATTAATATTGTCACTCAAGTTGTTTAATCCTTTCTAAGGAAAAATGTGGTTCTTCTATCTTATTATAAGGATATTCAGTATACTTTCTCTTGCCCATTATTATTTAGCTAGTTCAATCATGAATGTTTTCCAAAAGAAAACCTTGGCTGCTAATGTAAACATTAGTTATAGGTACCATCCTCAACAGTAAGAAAAGGGAAGAGAGTAAGTACGTTGTACAATGACTACACATTGGTGATTGTATGCCATGAGAAAGCCTAAATTATTGTGAGTTAGTTTTCTATAATGTTTAAACTGGCTATTGTTATAAGTACCTACCTGTGTTTCTATCATAGCTGTAACTTATCTGGAAAATTTTTATGATTTGATCTAAGTTATCAAAATGCTGGTGCTTGCTCATTTTATCTGCTAACCATGAGGGATTTCTCACAGCCAGGAGCAAGTTACAGCACTGAGCATTTCTCCTTGTAAGTTGTACACAAATATTTAGCAAGTGTTTACACTCAGTGGATGCAAAACAGAAATTGTTCTGAGCTATTTTCAAAATAAAATACAATTATTCTTTTATTCAGTTTGATAACTTGACGTTAATACTGTAATCTGTAACATGTAAAACTTCACCGTGATGCTTTTTTGCTGAATTTGGCATTTCTTTCATGGACTGTGAAGAGATTCTTCTCTGTGTCTAAATTTTTATGTTGTCATCTCCAACATGTACACCCATGACACTTTGCTGAGGGCATTAAAACCAAGCAGCCAGGGTAGTCAGTGCTCAGTTTGAGCATTGCGCTCTCCTAGCACAAACATGCTTGGAAATACTCCTTTCAGGATTGTGCTGGTTGGGGATGAAGAGATGCTCAGTGATTTGGGGAACTTGCTTCTCTTGCACAGGGCCTAGGAACCAGGTTTTGTGGCTCACAGCCCCCTGTAACTCCAGGTCTGAGGTATTTGATGCCCATTTGTGGCCTCTGCATACTGCACTGAGGTATACAGACCCGCCTACAGATCCACCTGCATACTGATAATTAAACATAAAACAAATTGTTAAAAAAAACTCTTTCAGTTCTGCACGGAGGAGAAAGCTCGGAGTGATTGTAACTTTCTAGGAACATGCTTGTAGTTGAATAAGAGGTCTAATTAGAAATGCATAAAACCATTTCTTTAGTCAAACAAACAATGTCTGTTTTGCATCTAATCCATATTTACACTGTTTGCTAAATGTTTATGGACATTTGCATGTTTTATGTATTATTTTCACTTAGAACAGAATCATTGTATTATTTTTAAGATATTTAGCTGCAGAAATATAGGCTTTTGTCCCTTTCTGTTTCAGGACATGATGTGCTCCCCCCATTGCCAGATCAGGAACCTAGAAGTTCTGAAAATACTGTGGCTTTGATGGATGATTCTGGATGCGTCTTGTCAAGTGAGCAAAGAAGCGAACCAGCAGAGTTGTCCCCGCATCTTGTAGAGAGCTGCAGCCCCCCACCCCTTCTGCCACTGCCTCTTGAGAAGAAGCCCTGCACCGCGCTGGGACATCCTCCGTCTTCTCACATGCAGTTCTTGCAGCATCTGCTTGAACTGAAGAAGCTGACAGAATCCAGTGGTCTGAAAATATACTTGAGCCACTTTGAGAAAGACACCTCCACAGTTTCTGATTCGGTTACACAGTTGTTAGATGGCCTTATCACATTTTACCATAACCCCAAACTCCCTTTCTCAAGTTTTTGGATGGAAGCTGTTGGGACGTTAGCTAGACTGATGAGTGATTTTAATTTATCTAATCATATTCTTAAAAAATGTTCTAAGAAGTTGGAAGAATTTGAGAAAACTCTACTGCAGGCTGTTTTAGGGAACGACAGTATAAACCGGGTAAGTAATATATCTTACCTGTTTATGACTTAATATCTGAGCAATTTCTATGAATTTTCCTCTTGGCAGAGATATTTGGTGGGTCTTTCACATTGGTGGCTGAGTGTTTGTAACTGGGCCTCCGCACCTGTGTACATCTCTTCCCAATTGCGTGTTTCTAGCCTTCTGTTGCTACATACAATGTGGTTCTTTCCTGAGATGTCTCTGCCTCCAGATTTTGCTGTCTCCACTTTGAATTCTTTTACTTAAACTGTTTTAATTCTTATCCTTTGATGCTTTGCCTTTTTCTGTTTTCTCTGTCTTTGTTTATTTGCCATTGGTCAAACTTTATAATCCTTTGCAGATAACCATTAATGCCCAAGGTCCCCACATCATGACTTCTGTGATAAAGTTGCTAATGTCTAATGTCTGGAATAGATGTGAGGGAGGAGTAAAGGCATAAGTTATTTACATTACAAGTCCTAGGCAAAGAACCAGAAGACAGAATGCAGTCTGATTTACATGTTCAAATCTAAGTTTATTAGAGTATTTCTAGAGACTCTAATGAATGAGCATCTGTTGGGCACCTCCTTATTGTTCTCTGACCTGTCAGACTTTTCTCTAAAATGTTAAACCCAGGATTTTCTTTCAGGCTTTTTGAGAGTTGTTGAAGTGGCTAGAATAAACAAGATGTCCTTCTCACATGGCTTTTAGATATTTGGTCGTCATTCAAGTTTTAGATTAAAGCAATAATGAGGCTGTCTCCTTGTCTGTAAGTAAGTGTTGCTTTAAGCCTGAAGGTCTGAAGGTTTATATATAGGTATCATTTTACTTATCAAGAATAAATTAACAAGTGAGAAGTTGTCCAAGAAACATCTTATATAGACTAGAGCTATTATAATGAGTGTGATCCCTTGAACTATTGAACATACCCATCATTTTAAGTGTTGGCTCCCTTTTCTTACTGGTTAAGACATTGAAGCTAGCCAAAATTTATCATCTCTTCCTCCTCTAATTTTTGTGCCACCAAGGCCAGTTGGTGATGTTGTCCTCTACTTCTTCTAGTCTTTCTCATACCAGCTGTTCCATCAGCGACGATAAGTCAAAGGCCTTCACTTTGAAGCACTGAAGAAATCATTCCTCTGCACTACAACTGATCTTTGTAGACTGGACATTTGTTAGAATTCACTTGGTAAGGTCTCCATAGCCTTCTTGAGCAAGAAAACAAGTGGTTCCCCACAATTTCTAGAGAAGTCTCACAGTGCCCTTGGATCTAATTGATCTTGGAAAAAGAAGGAAAAATATTCTCCCTTTTCATCTAGCTGATGACATTAGAGTATGGGTCTCCAAGACTGGTTACTGTACACATGGAAGGCCATTACAGCACTCTTGTACTTTTAAGGTCTCTGTAATATTTACCAGACCTCCATGGTGGTTTTTTGTTGTTTTGTTTTATTTTAATTTTGACACATTGTTTGGCCTGATGTAATTACTGGTTTCTATAGGGGAAGGAAGACTTTTCCCAGTCCTGCTTCCCCAACACTGGGCAGACCTCAAAGGGAGCTGGTTCCTCCCTTTTTCCAAGTGGCTAGACTTGGAAAGCACATGTGATTTTACTACAGCCCTGAGAAAACATGGAGAAACGGAAAGCCTGGACCCGAAGGATAAGTTGTAAGACTAGACAACCTGCTGCTAACCGACAGCTACAGTAGCCAAAGACAGAGGCATCAGCCTCCTTATTATGCCATTGAAATGCACTGACCTTATCACTTGGCAGTGCAGCTGTGTTTGAGTTTCCTCTGGCTCTCCCATTTTCAAGAGCCCATTAGCCATCTATGGAAGTAGAGACAAACCAAAACAACAAAAATGGGGGAAGAAGATTGGGATATGTGATGAATGAATGCCTGTGGTACTTGAAATTCAAGTGGTGCCAGCAAGTTTTATGGTTTATGCCATGTGATTGTCTTAAACATTGCTTTCCTCTTCTTGATAAGTTCATAGCTCATTTTTGTAGACTGGACACTGGTTAAAATCCACTGGTCGGGACCTCCCTGAACAAGGAAACAGGTGGCCCCTAGCATTGCAAAATATTTTGAGACATGTACCACAATCCTCTGACCTCAGAGAACAAAAAAGAGAATATTCTCTCTTTTAATCCTTCTTATTGATTATTCTACAAGTATGATTATTGAAACTCTAAGGTTAGTTACACCAGTCTGATACTTTTCACTCTTGTGCTGTACTTGGAAGAGGATTGAAAAACATGCTTAATTAACTTGGATTAGAAACATATTTTACTATTTAGTCCTTGTACTTATTATGGAGAGTATTATGCTAACCGGTTTAAGTGGCAGTTTGATATCAATGTATTGAACTTTGACCTTTTCCATGATGTATATAACATTCTCAGATTCTTACAACTTACTGAAATTTCCAGCTTTTTTTTCTATTCTGGAAAAACAACAGGTAATCTTATGGAACATATTAATGTTATTTAACATCACCTCACAAGAAGGAAGTCAAACCCAAACTGCTTGCATAAGAAATTAATATTACCTGTGTATATACTGTTAAAATATTGAGCTTGGTAATTTCCCATGTAAACTTTATAGAAAACACACGGCAGTACCTAGAGTGATCTATCGTAATCTTGTCTTTGTTCTTTAATGTGTTTGGACAGGAGGTAGAGAGAGAACTTTACATCATGAGATGAAATAACAATACCTTGCTGCTTCTGTTCTGTTCTTGTCCTTTTCTCCCTGTCACAGAGTCAGAGGGCCCACCACAGAGAAGGGGGTCTGGGAAAACATTGAGATAATGTGATGGGGGTCAGAAGTTGAGGGCCAAAACCCATCTCCAGAGCCAGAGTCTCTGTAGGCTCAAAGGACACATGTGAATTTCATGTATACACAAAAGGAATTTGTTCCTCCATTAAACTCAACCTTGTGGTTTACACGGAAGAGGAGGCTTGCTGTTAGTCTGATGGTAACCCGACGCACCTGTCTGCCTTATAACCAATGACTGTTTAGAGGACTCTTATCTGTGAGGGTTTGCATTATGATGTGAACATGGGTTGAGAAGCTTTCTTCTTGGTGCCTTTAAACTTTGTTAAGTTCAAGGGTGAGTGACAGTGGGAACCCACGAAGGAGGATAATACTGACAGAAGAATCTACTTTCCCAATATCTAACCTGAAACCCTGGCTAGGCTTACTGCTTAGAAGCTGGTAATAAACCGTTATTTTTCAACTCTTCTAACAAAGGTTGTAGGAATGAATATAGGTGAGTCTGAATTCTTAAAAGGAAATACCCCAGGGCATATCAGGACCTTGCCTGCTATCAAAAGAAAGTCAGTGGAGGCGTATAGCAAATTAGGGATATGCATGTAGAATCTAAATCAATAAGTGAAAACCTTTTTCTAAGTTTTAGTTATGCTTTTAAAAAGAACTTGAGTTATACCTGCAGAAAATTTAATGTGTGATACTAGTAAAAAATGACATTCATCCTTTTCAGGATTTTAAATTTTATATATTGTGCCATTGAATTCTTTATTGATTTTCTGAGATTGTAATACAATTGCAGCATTCCCCACTTACCTCCTCTCTCTCCGGTCCTTCCCATATACCCCTCCTCTCTCTTTCATATTCATTGCGGGCCTCCACTTACATATCCATATTTATTGAACATCTCAAAATGACAGTTGCCGTTCTTCATTCTTTCAGAGATATGATCGATAAAGCCTACTGAGGATGACTTTAGGAATTTTTTATCTATCAAAACATATTAGTGAGGTGAAATGAACTCTCCTTGCTCATCTCACCCAAGGACTAGTCCCACAGAGAGTTCATTCCCTCGTGTCAATCAAAGGGATAGTGGTTGGCAGCATTATTTTTTAAGTTATATAGGAACTGACTGTTACTGTGAAAACATAATTCCATGCTATTTCTATAATAGCAATAAACAAATGACAGAACTAAGATAGTGCAGATAACAGGTATATTGTAGGATTAAGTAGTCAGAGTAGGTTGTGTACTCATCTTTACATATGATTTGTTTAAATTCATATTTATAATAATATAATATAAAATACAATTACACTATCCTAATAAAGTTATATTCCTTGTGACTCTTGTGAAAAAGAAAAAAAGAAAGTAAATAAGTCAGGGTTTTGTTTGTTTGAGTGTCTGAAGATACAATTCTAATTCTGCTCAGTGTTTGAAAGGCAGCTGAGTGGTTACTTTATAATAATCAGTTTATCTCATCTGTGATAAGGTGGACACAGAGAAATAGACAGAGAAGTCTTGGGTGAGAGTTATTTCGCCCTCCCTTAATTTCCTTGTTCACCTGGATGGGCATGTCCAGTCTATCAGCAGAGAGTAGTTAGTGTGGTCTAGTCTATCCCAGGACCGGTCAGGCTAAGTATGTGATTTCCGCACCTTACCCATGCCTTGTTCCATTACCATCTCCCAGTTTTGTCCTTTCATGAAACACACAAGGTTCAGAAATCCCGTTTTCCTGTGTTGTGGGCCCTGTTCTACACTAGCCTCACATGATTTAATGATCAGTCATAGTGTTAAAGACAGATCCTGATGCAGAAAGAAGACAGATAAAGCTCAGCTCATTAGCCCATTGATCTACAAGGGGAGCCCAAGAGTCAAAATTGATCTCATTCATTCTGGAACCCATCCACCTACCAGTTCAGAAATTTTTGTCAATTGCAGAAATTGGCAGACTATTAATTCTAATTCCAAGAGGGAAGAACGAGGGCACACTTTAGAACCACTGCACAACAAAACCAAAGTCCGTCACTGTAAACAGCTCAGTGTCCAATATTTAGGATTCATGTACCTGTGGACTCTAAAGGATCTGCCTGCCAAAGCACACACGGTATATCTGGTCATCAATCCTGGCATTTCCTTTGGCTCTGATACCATCAAATCCAGTACCATGTGGGAGCCTCTTACACATTAACAAGCTTGCCTGACAGAATGAGATGCAGTCTTGGCACCTCTGGACCATATTCT